ACATATTTAAAAGTTAGAAATAGAAAATTTGAAATACAAAATATAAAGAAAAAGAAAGGAAAAGGTGAAGTAAAGTAAAAGAAGAAAAGGTATGAAAAATAGATAACTTCCAGTCTATCTCTGGTCTTAGAAATAATAAGGCTATCATAAGTTTTATTGAAATTTTAAAGATACATATTTAAAAGTTAGAAATAGAAAAGAAAAGGTGAAGTAAAGTAAAAGAAGAAAAGGTATGAAAAATAGATAACTTCCAGTCTATCTCTGGTCTTAGAAATAATAAGGCTATCATAAGTGCTAGTTTTTAATACATTAAATAAGAATAATTCTTTCTCTAATATATCCCATTACATTTCTAATCTAATCTTCAAATCCCCATGTAAGCTTCATCCCACCTGCATTTTGCACATAGTCCATCAATGTCTACTAGTACTCATTCTGATGAAAAAAAGATTACCCTAGCTCTCTGAAGTAAGAGAACATGGAAGCTGAGATTCAGGAGTCAGTATACGTATATGTAAGGATGCACAGAAAGGGTGACTTAGGGCCATTCTTCTGGAGTAGCTTCCAGGTAGACAGAGAGACCCCTTTGGGCCTACTAGGAAGAGTGATAGGAATGAAAGTTGGGAGAGGCTAGGGGAATGACAGGGAGAGAACTATTGTAGGGAAAGGACTATAGTAGTGATGGACATAGGAAGGCATAATGGGAATTGGGGGAGACCATTAAAAGGAAGGGGGATAGGAAATTTGGCTCCAATCCTCTCTTCCAGCCCCCATTCCAAGCCCCAACCTCTGGATGCTAGATTGTGGAAGCCTTCAGCCCACGATGAACACCAGCTTCACTTGTAATAAGACACTGTTCCTCCATGTCTTAGTGTAGAGGAATGGTCTTGGCATGTATCCTTAAGACCTGACTAGGCAAGGATAGAGAGTTCCTCTGTTCGAGTCATACCCAGCTGGGGTTTGGGTGAATCAGTACCTTCAGCACTAAGGGTGTTAATGGGTGGTAATGATAGTGGGTTGATGGTTGTCGGATGTATTATTCTACAGAAAGCCAGTTCTGAGGTGTTATGTGATGTTAGGTGCTAGGGATGAACTGGGGATATTGCTGTACATCAACCCACTGCTACCAAACTGTAGAGAGTAAAGATGACCTTGATGGAGATAAGCCAGATCCTTTCCCAGAGAGAAAGCAAAAGGGAACGGGGTGGGTGGGAACTACAGAGGGCTCTAGATGAAATGGACTATCTCTTCCAATTGGGCTTCAGGCCTGAGTGTGGGGCAGAAAAGGCATTGATGGTACTTGTGCATGACCTGTGGTGGTGCACCCCTTTTGTTTTGTTTCTTTCAGGTTTCTAATGGCATTTGATACCATTGATCTTAGTATCCTTTTGGATCATGTGTGCAGTTGGAGATTAAGGAAAATGTTCTACAGTAATTCCATTCCTTTCTGATTGAGTGGTTCTCCTTCCCCATCTGTGTTGATGGGGGAGTAGAGTTTGACCCCCATGGATCTTTCAGTGTGTGGTATCAAGTCGGCCTTCTTACCTATTTTATTTAACATCTACAAGAAGCCACTGGGAGAAATCACTCATTGGCTTGGGGTGAGATGTCACCCATATGCTGATGATACCAAATTATATATATCTACATCAGGCTATCAGAAAATGTGGCAGAAGACTTGACAAGTTGCCTGGAGAGCCTTTAGCCAGCTTTGCCTGGTCTGGTAGGTGCAACCTCTCCTAGACCAGGAACACTAAAGAAAGTGAATCATGTCCTTTTATCTTCTAGTTTGACTAGGTTTAAATTCTTCTACATGGAGCAGCCTTGAAGATGATCTGGAAGCTATAAATAGCACAGAATGTGGCTGCCTGCTGATTTAGTAGAGTAACATCTGTACTGTAGAAGCTACATTGGTTTCTGTTAGGATTCTGGGCCCAATTCAAGGAGCTGGATCCTACATAAAGGTCTGGGTGCTCATCATCTTCACCAGGTGGAATCTGCCCAGCCAAGAAAATTGCAAGGACCTATCCAGGCAGTGGCCAAGAGTCAACACTGACTTGAAGGCACATGCACACACACACAATACATACACAAGGGGAGCACTGTGTATACCCATCCTCCAGGAGATGTTGGATGCAGGATAGCTGTTGCCTTCTTGTTAGGAGTCTCCTCACTTTGTAGCACCTTGACTCCCCAAAACTAGAATTGCCCACTTTAAGTAGTGGAGCTGTTCTGCAGTATTTGGTGTGAAGACCCTATTTAGGCATACAGTACAGGTGGAATTTTAATTGTGAGATGATGATGATGATGATGATGATGATGATAAAGATGAAGAAGATGATGATGATGATCTGCCTAGCTTCTTGTGTGTAGGTAACATATATTTCACTGTATGAATAAGTATCAAAGACAACATCAGGTGAATACAGTCAGAAAAGGCCTTTTCCAGCAGCTGGGGGAGATGGGCAGTATATAAATTTAATAATAAATAAATAAAAATAAATAAATAATCCTTAAAGTTAGGGATTCCAGAAAAAGACATTCAAAGAAAGATCACATTGATGGGAAATTCATGTGGCCGAAGGACAGGCAGACCTTCAAACAGTTAGATTTCAGGTCACTAGGGCTAGTTTCAACTTTTTTGAAAGTAACTACGAACCAATATTTCATGGTCTTAGCAGTCAACCCCATTTAATGAATGAAATGAGCATCCCATGTTATATTACTGTTATACTTTTTCCATGCCCCATAGAAATGGCCTAATACTAAACTTTGCAGAGGCAAGGAGACCCTCCCCCCTCACTATTTATATACATTTATATACATCATATATTATGTACATTATTATTGGCATTAGATAGTTTTCTACCAAGAACTGGGGTGTGTGCAGCTGTGTGCATGTGTATGAGTTTGTGTGCACATGCACACAGGTGTATGTGAATGGGTGTGACCATAATTAAAGCCTTTATAGCTTGCACATTCCCTGTGCTTAAATAACTGCCAACAGTAATATTTGATTATTGCAGGATATAAATGCAATTAATTAATTAATTTTAGGCTTGATCTGTCCTCAGAGAACAAAGAAAGTACTTTATTGAGCCTACTGTTGGATGAAGAATGGATTAAAGTTCTTAGAAAAACTTTTTGAGCAGAAAACTGCTTCAGATGTTTCTTAAAAATAATCGGCTGAAATTATGTATGTTAGGGGTTTCAAATTTGAAACTGAGATCACACTATTCAAGCTCAAAATAGTTTTTTTGAGTTTGAATTTTTTGAAAATCAATCTAGAAGTGCTTTAAGCTTAAAATAAGTTATGTTTCAGAAGAAATTTTTGAGCTTAAAATGGGAAGTTTTAAGCTCAGAATACTTCCAGAACAGTTGAACAACCTATTTAAAATCTTAACAACTGTTCTGAATTTAAAATGTTTTGCATACCCCTACTGATTCTGAATTTACCTGATAATGAATTTGAACAAAATTCTTAAATTCACCAAGCAATCAATAGCTGCAGTGCTTAACATTTGGAAGCAAAAGCCAAGACTTTTTTTTTTGGTATTTTTGTTTAGATCCTTCCTTTTCAGTAATAAAACTATGTATGTGTAAACACATACAATCAAATATTACTTTTCGCAGTTATTTAAGCACAGGGAATGTGCAAACACATATATAAAGACAGACTTTCATACATAGGGAGAAAGAGAATTTGGCAGAAACATTTTGTCATGGCTACATGGGGATAACTGAGCAATTATCATGTTTAGGAGACCATAATAGATCACATGATTGAGAGTGGCTTTCAATCTCTTATCACTGATTCAGAAGTTAACCATATATTCACCTTTGCTTCATTGCGAAGGAATTTGCTAACTTACATTGCTAAATTACAGTGTTGCTTAATGAATTGCTGGGAATAAGGGCTTGACCCTGACTAGCATCCACGTCTGTAGCTGAAACATTTATTTATTTGTTTATTTTTCAAATTTATATATGCTGCCCATCTCACTAAACAAATGACTCTAGGCATGAATATGCAAAACTGAACAGAATATATAATCATCAAAGAGAGTCTGGGATGAATGAGATTTGCCAACAGAACAAACTACATTTTCTTGGAAAGATAGGGATAAAAATGGATTTGTTTGATTTTTTAAAATATATTAATGAGCTGTCAAAGAAAGCCAAGCCTGGAGTGAAATCTATGTTCATTTACTTAAAAATTGGGATATGTGTATTCTCAAAAATCTGCTTTGATCTACCATATACTTTAGCAAGGCAATTTCCAGGTATAGCATTTTTTAAAGTCTTTAAACAAGATTTAAAGAGATTTCTCAGCCCTGTTGTACATTTTCAAAAATCCCCTAGCCCCTCTGAAGATTTTTTGAGGAATGAGTAATTGTTAGGCAGATTTTGTTTGGAGTTTTGACTGCATTTCCATCTTGACTTTTTGATCATACCCTGTAGACACCCCTAACTTGTAGTATTTGTTTTTTTTTTTTAATTTTTATTTATTTTATTTGCTTTGTCACATTACCATCATGAATATTCTTACTAATAGGTTACTTTGCCAAGTCTGATTTGATAAGAGAAAAGAGAATGCTTTACTTTACTGTTTTGATAACAATCACAGAATGGCTGTAAATTATTGTACAGAAGTAAAAAAACCCAAATCTGGGTAATATACCTAATATACATATTATAGCATATAGTTTAGAACAGAGGGATCCTGCTCAGAAGCAAGCAGTATTTGACCTTGAAAATAACACTAGAAATAATACCTCTAACTATACATAGCTTTGGCGAAATTTGTTCTTGACAGAGGGAAATTACAATCTACATGTAACCTCAGTTGGAATAATGATATTCTGTTACTGTTTATGTACTTAAAATATAGCAGGGATTCAGCTATTGTCCTAGACCATAAAAATATCAAATGTGCTTTTCTTCTCATTACAGTTTTTGCTTTGTGGAGTATGCGGAATATTCTGTGCCAAAAAAAAGTCAGGACTTATTGTAAGTGTTTTGCTAAACTTTTCACAAGTATTCATAAATGAAATGTAAGCTGTGCATATCTTGGACTCTTTATATGTTCTTTCTTCATTTCTGCCATCAGGCTCAGAAAGAACCCTCACAAAAATTAGATATGTTTTCATCTAATGAAATGTCCACAGAGATTACAGCCATTGGATAAAACAAATTACTCAGTCTGGACTGTTCTTGACATAACTTTGTTATAGCCTTCAACTGATAGGAAACACTGTGGACTGACTCATTCAGTGTTTCTGGATTGTGAGGTACACAGATACACTGACCTAGTTCTCATGAATTTCTTAGATGCAAAGACAGACTTATTGAAGCTATGAAATTTCCCGAGTAAGTAAAACTGCTTATATTATATACTCACGTCAACTAGATAGTGGTTGAAATAAGAAATAAAGGAAATGCAACAATTCAATGTCGAGGTTGACTGAGGGAGAGGTAGAAAAGGGAATTCTTACCCTCCTTTGTCCTTATTCATCATCCTGCAGGTCTCCACTGCTAGCTCATACAACAGCAAATCTTTCAGTAGGGCTGTTAACGAAACGGGCCTATTCAAGAGATTTTAGCAAGCCTAACAAGCTGCTGGTGGATTTATTCAGCTTCTCTGATTAATCTCACTTTAACCGCTACAATTCCATATGGCCAGCCGATGTTACTGATAAGATTTAAGCAAACGGTGAAAAAAAGAATAAGACACTGCAGTGGGTAGAAGGGGCCAGACAAAAGGAAAGATATATTCCCCATTTTTTTCTTCTTCCTCTTCAGGCAGTTCAGAACAGAAAATCTTTCAGATATGCTTAGCTTTTGGTTGCTTTGGTGTGGTGGGATCCTCTCCAAATTGCTGTTCAGTTAAATAGTCCAATATACTATTTGCCTGAGACTTACTGGTATTGAACAGCACAGTTCCTGGCATGGGATATGGTTGACTAAAACTACTCATTTCACTATCATGGCTCATGTAAAAAATGTATACATGTTTTTCATGTTATGATGTTTCCAAATAACAATTCTCGTCTACCAATAAAACACTGAATGGAATATGAAAACGATGCCATAACGGGAAGGACATGCTTTAATCAGCCCATGTTTTCTAGGTCAGGGTTAAAACCATGTCACTCAATTTTCATTTCTTTAGCTGAAACAAGAGAAATATAGTAAACTTAGGTAAAGTAGAGCAGTTAATGGAATGTTTACAGCGACCACTCTCATTGTTCATATGTATTTTTGTCAAGTTGTTTAGTTAAGTAATTTGGGGGGGGGAATTCAAATGAATACACATCTCAGTTGCTTCCTCCATCTGATCGTCTCACAATAATGTGAGTTTTTGTCTCCTATCAGATGATACTTTTCTCTGCTTGCTGTATCTGCGGGCTAATTGGAGGAATATTAAACTTCCAGTTTCTTCGAGCCCTAACGAAGAAATCCTCAACTCACTATCCATTACACCTTACCTCTATGTCCCTCGCATGCATTGGAATTGGTGGCTGTACTCTTTCTTCATGGCTAACTTGCCGACTAGCCAGCTATGAACAAAGAAGAATGTTTTCAGAAAGAGAACATTCATTACATCACTCTCATGAAATGGCCGAGAAAGTAAGTTGGCATGCCTTCTGATTTGTTACAGTCTGTTTTTTTTTAAAAAAAAACCAATTTGTTTTCTAATGCACACAATCAACAATGCAAGAAAATTCTATCAGTTTTATAACTCACTGGGAAATGATATATGTCTGTAGTATCAGCTATGTTCCAATATAGAAAGTTATGTTTAGATATTCCAGCCTTTCCAGTACTCTCATTTCAATAAAATGCATCCATTAACTACATTGTTCCATTGTATAATGTATACAATGCTTTGCACTAAATATAGAACTCCTTGGCCTAAATAAGCTAATGGCTGCGTAATTGTATATCTGTTCCCCTTCCTGCATGAAAATATATTTTGTAGTCAGTAAAGCTGGGGCTTACCAAAGATTAATATCATGTAGGAGGACAAGCAACACAATCTGCAGCTACATACAATGAACATGTTGTTGGATTGTACCACTTTGGATTGCTGGTGGGAGAGCAAACAATGATGTGTCTCCTGATCAGTACTGGGGCAGGACTGGGCAATCTACCTTTAGTGTAGCTAAGGGTAAAGAGCTATTTTGTAAAAAATGTAACCAGGTGGGACTCAATTTTTCAACTCTTAACCTTAGCAGAGATTTCAGATTCCTATTTTTTCCCTTGGGTTTTATCGGGACGTTGTGTATGACAGACAGACTTTTCAAGACAGACTGTTCAAGCATGAGATATTCAGGAAAAAGGGGTAGAGGATCTGAAGAGCCAGTAGGGAAGATTACATTGTACAGGAAGTACAGCTTTGTCTATCTAGTACTGATATGCACCAATATCTATGGAAATGATCGTGCTTTATTTATAATTGTTATTTTGTATTAGAGATTGAGGGGTATTGAAATAACCGAACTGCCCAGCTGCCCAGTGATACCCCCAACACCAGAGTTACCTCCAAGGTATGCTGAATTCTAGGGAATTACAATGCATTTATTTAGAAATCTTGTTTTTAAGAGAAACACATAAACCAATCTGACTTGGTGCTTTTTAAGTAAAATCTTAATTCAGTGGATGATCATTCCCAGAAATCTTCATTCATACTGTAGAAAAGGCTTCATTAAAAGCTATGTAGGATAATGCTAGAGTTGGAGGTGTGTCACCCAAAACAATGAGCATACAAATAGTTGATGTGTCTGTGTGTATATGTATGTGTGTGTTTGTGTTTGTATATGCACACACACACACACACACACATAATTACTATGCCGATTTCACAAATAGGAAAAAATGTTAAGGAATTGGTTATCAGTAGTCAGTATTAATAATAATTTAGGAGTAAATTCGTCCAATTTAATATAGGTAAGCAGTCAAGCCAAAAAGCTGGGACTTGTTCGCTAGTAGATAAAAATGACAAAACTACCACTACGAGGTAGGTTATTAGGAGCTTGTTTACATAGTTATTGTCCTGCTTGAATTAGCCCATGTTGACTCCTAGCAATTGCCTGGACTAGTCCCTGAAGTTTTCTTGGCAAGATTTCAGAATTGGCTTGCCATTGCCTTCTTCCTAGGGCTGAGAGAGAATGACTGGCCCAGGGTCACCCAGCTTTTATATATACTAGACAACCTGTGGCCCATTGGGTCATCCTTTGAGAGAAAGGTAGTGCAGTCTGATGTGATCAGAATGATGTTACAGTTTAGGCTGACCATATTTTTTTACCCCAATGCTGGACTGTCACGTGATCATCTAAGAAGAGTATATATCATAAATAGACAAATAATTGTACAGGCAAACAAACTTCAATAATAAGTCAATATTTACTTACCTAAACAGATAAACAGAATGACCGTGGGCAAGCAAAAAAGTAATAGAAGCAGGAGTGACTTCTGACTTCCTGCTGGCTTCTCTATTGGGTTTGCTTGTGGGAAGCTGGCAGGGAGTGTTGAAAATCATGATCACGGGACCATGGTTATGCTGCAATGACCACAACTTTGTGAATAAAACTGGGCTAAACCTCGTGGAAATTTCAGTTCCACAGGAGTCATGGGTCCCAGATTGTGGTGGACTGGAATGGAGGAAGGGGGGTGAAAACGGTGCTCTCGTCTCCAGAGCAACGCTCTGG